GAAATTCGTTTTCTTGAGGATGATGAACACTTCCTCAAGATGCTTCATATGTTCCTCGATGGACTTACTAAAGATCAGTATGTCATTGAGGTACAAAACCACAAACCTACCAATCTGTTCACGAAGGACTTTGTCCATAAGACTTTGGAAGGTGACCGGTATGTCGTGAGACCGAAGGGCATTACGGTGAATTCGTAAAGCCCTTCGTGTGTCTTGAACACAATCTTGTGTTGGTCTGCATGATCGAATTCAATCTGGTGATACCTAGATTTGAGGTCGATCTTGGAGAAAACCTTGCACCCACCTGCAACATCAAACAAATCATATATGCATGACAATGAGTATGCATTCTTCCTTGTGATGCGGTTTAGACCGCGATAATCAATACATATGCGGAGTTTGCCTCCTTTCTTTGGGACAAACAAATCAGGTGCACCAAATTCAAATTCGCCAGACTTTATTAATCCTTTGTCGATCATCTCATCGATCTGTTTCCGAAGTTCCCCCAACTCACCGGATCCCATATGGTATACACAATCCTTTGGATGAATAACACCTTCGACCAACTCAATTGTGTGCCTAAGTTAGTCTAACCGATCGCGTGGGGACTCCACATGGTTCGGCCAAAACTTTCGGAAATAAGTCAAGTAAGCTTTGAATGCTTGTTGGGATCGGTGGGGGTGGAGGATCAGCAAAAGGATCACCAAGAAGTGATGCAAGCACAAGGAGGACGAACACTAGTTCTACTTTACCTAATGAATCTACTTCTTACACTTCTACTTGCATGGCATTAGGAAAGGTCACTGGGGACTCGTGCTTCTCATCCAAGAAGATGAAAAGTTCGTTCTCTTTAGCGTTTTTTACCATGAGAAGTTGGGACCACAACCAGCCCAAGCAAACGACTGCATCGAAGTTACACTTGTCAAGGACATAAAACTTCAATGTGTGGGTGACTGTTTTGTCCTTATCAAAGGTAGTGCGCACACCTTTGACTACATGTGTGAATGCGACAACGTCTTTGTTGCCTACTTGAGTCCGACAAAAGCTCTCCAAAAACACCTGCTTCATCCCTAAACCCACTTTGCGTATCTCGTGTGGTGACATGAAGTCGGTTGTAGCACCACAATCAATCAAGACACGAAGATAGCGATGGTTTATGAAAAGTTTGAAGATAATTAACTTCACTATCCCTTGAGGACGCTGCTGTTTCATCTCAGCCCAATGCTCTAGGTGATAGTGAAAGTTGACGTTCTCAAACTCCTCCCAAGGCTCAACATACAAAGCATGACAAAATTCAACTTCGGAATCAGCAGACGATGAGGCTTCAAAAAACGACAGTCACTGCTAATATGCATCAGTTTCATTCCCCCTTGCTGTAGAGGGTGCTCATTTCAACTCTACACTCGATTCTGGTTCTCATGCAGCCTATAACAATCTTGTACTTTGCGATTCGGTTTCAGGCAATGCAAGCATAACCCTTCCTCGAGCCTAATCATCCAATCATTTTCAGTGGTCCGGAGGTCAACCCAAGGTTTGGTCACTTTGGTGGTTGCATCTTCCGATTCCTCCGGTTTCGCCGGGATTTTGACTCAATTGGGAAGTTGGACATAGTTCTTTCCCGAGTTCCGGTTTGGTCCCTTCACATTGGCAGACTTTCTAAAGAGATTTTCTTTTTCTTTTTCGATACTTATGTCAGAGTCATGGATTGAAGAGGAACAGGCTATATCAGGGTTCTGTTCTTGGTCGTCACCAAGACTGGGCCCGTCTGTATATGCCTCCTTATTAGCCTCCAACAAGTTATGCACAACAAAACGGTTGCTGCCTCGGATCCGCCAGCCGCCAATATGTTTTGTGTTGCCTGCTATGGAAACGAGGTCGTGTGCCTCAAGGCTGACTATATCCTGCATGAGGGAAAACCAGTCTGTGTATCCAATGAACTCTTTATCTAGGCGATGCGAGTAAGTAGTGAGAATCGTACCTGTCACAACATCGAGGCATTATTGTACAGCTATTTGCAGTCTGGGTGTAGCAAAACATTTGCTGACAAACAACTACAGATTGTACATGGTGTCCGTCCACTTGTTGCATTTACGATTATCAAGTGTCTTCTTGGTTCTTACAACAACATGTGGATCCTTATATTGTTTGATCATGATCTCTTCAAGCGTGGTTACTGGTGTGACTTTGAGCCCCTGTGTGAGTCTGTATCAGATCGATCTTAGTGTACTTGCCCTACATACTAGTTTGGACTTCTAAGAAGCCTCATACAACAAGTTCGAAGTAGGCTCAAAGCTTGAGTTACCAGCACCTCGAAGTAGGCTCTCATGAAGCTGATCCAGAACTCTACGTCTTTCTTGGCATCGTACTTGGAAAGTATTCCTACCGCCTTTCTGTCCATATGGGAACTGTTATAGCTGGCACCAGCAAATGCTATATCTGAACTCGAGGCTGTAGCAGTTGCAGAAATCCCTGCGTTGCTACTTGTTGTAGTGACATCAGGGTCTGCACCTACTGCAGGTCCTGATTGAACCATGCTAAGAAGAGTAGAGGGATGAAGAAAAGCAAGGACAAATTGGTTAGCAGCATTGGAGGCAGAAGGTAGAGGAAAACAATTAGGAATCTGGGCTTGATGCATATTTGCCATCTGCTGCATCTGATCATTGCGCTCCTTGACCATATGCACCATTTGTGTCCGCAGTTCACTTACGAAGTCAAAAAGTTTCAAAATATGACCATAAATTTCACTAAGTAGGTGACGGTCTATAAGAACACTCACATATTCGACTCGATTTTGCTTGACCTCAGTGTCGGCTAAGGAAGAAACTGTTTTAAAGACAGCCTCATGGTCCGCAACAACGATTTTCCGTTTTTCCTCCTCTGCCTTCTCTTCCCTTGTCAGTGCCTTGTCGTAGAGGACTTGCAATAATGGTTTATCCTCTCCGTTGGGTGCATCTAGTTGGTCCTTTGAAGCCACAAAGACCTTTACTACTGCCATTTCAGCAAGTCCCTTAAGATGGGTTCTCTCTCTCTCTCTCCCTTCTCTCACTCTCTTCCTTCTCCCACTCTCTTCCTTTTATCCATGAGTCTCTACATGCATCGAAATATAAACTCAGGAAAAGAAACAAACTGAAAGGCTCAAAGAAAAGAAGGTAGAATTCCTAGTCGGAGTGACATTATATTTGGAGTACAGAGCAAATAAAAAAAAAATCACATGAGAGGTCTGATCCAGCCGCTCATCCTGATCATTAATCAAACTTCTAGTAAGCGGAAAAAACCTACTTACCAAGGTGATAAGAGCATCCCCAATAAGTAGGGCCCAACATTGAAGGCTTCATCTATTGGTGGGGAGCTGCACCTGCTGGAAATCGGGTCCAACGTCCCTATACACTTATGTGATATGTGTGAGCTGGAAAACGGGTCCAGCGTCGCTATAAAGTTATGATTTATATCCTAGTGAGCATCCTATCATTGTCTGTATATTTTTGTCAACCTCTTTTTATTGCGTAGTGGACATGCCACGAAACCCTAGCACATATGAAAATCCACGAAACCCGAACAAAGATGGAATATACACTGATGTGATATGTGTGACCTGGAAAACGAGTCCAGCGTCGCTATACAGTTATGATTTATATCCTAGTGAGCATCCTATGATTGTCTGTAGATTTTTGTCAATCTCTTTTTATTCCGTAGTGGACATGCCACGAAACCCTAACACATATGAAAATCCACGAAACCCGAACAAAAATGGAATGTATGTGCTATGTATCCATCAAGCCTAAACACGAAACCCTACCACTGATGTGATGTATGTGATCCGAATCAATCAACCCTGAACACAACCCTACCACTAATGTGATGTGTGTGATCCAAATCAATCAACCCTAAACAGGAAACCCTATGTGTGATCTGGACATCGAGTACAACACCCCTCTATGCTATAACGTGTGAAAATGTCCTAATAGTAGCTAATACACAATTGTCCGAAGAAAGCAAGGGCATTGATTACTTCCCTACACAAGGGAAGGATTAACCTCCTTTAAATGAAGTGTTTTTTTTTTTTTTTTTTTTTTTTTTTTTAAATGGTTGCTCACAGGACCCACCCCTACTAGGGCTTACCTACCTCATCTTTTTGCTTCCTTAGCGTAACCGTTGCTTCCTCATGTACGGGGCCACCCGTTTGGCCCTTTCGGGCATACCGGACAACGGTTGCAAACACCAGCGCTAGGTCATGACAAACCTCTCACAGCCCTGGTTGAAGCACTATCGAGCGAGCCTTGTCGCACCGTCGCACGGGCACTTCGGTCGCCAAGCATGATCGTTCGTTGTCCTTTTTTTCCTATGAGCACCAGCCCAGGTTTGGTCAGACAACGAATATTCCTTAGAGCCTTTCCCTAGGCAGTGTCTAGTGGTTCTACCCTAACCAGGGTCTTACCCGAGACAGCCCTTCTGACCCAATCAACCAAAGGGATCTTCATCAAGTTATTCCCTAACCACCCACCTCCCGCCCGAGGCAACACCAACTGCCATCAACTATCCTACTCCTATTCTCTGCGAGACAACAAAGATCAATCTCATATGAAGGTTGGAAGGGGTGAGCATAGTAGACCAAATTTTGTCACCCCCACGCCCCTCCACGGCCGCTTGCAGTGTTGCTCCCACGATACTGATAAAGATCATGGATGCACAAACACGTCTCTCTATCCTGCTGCTGCCGTGGTCGTCTCCGCCGCCGACGTCGTTGTTGTTGTTGTTGTTGTTGATGGTGTCGCCGTCGACGTTGTTATTGTTGTTGTTTGTTGTCACCCCCAATCCCCTCGTTGTCTGCATGAGACTTTTCTCCCACCATGCTAATAACAATCATGGATGTGCGATCACCGCTCTCTGCCCCTCTGCTGCCATGATGATCGCCGCCCCCTCCTTCGTCGTCGTTGTTGTTGTTGTTGTTGTTGTTGTTGTTGTTGTTGTTGTCATTGTTGTTGTTGTTGTTGTTGTTGTTGTTGTTGTTGTTGTCGCTATCGTTGTTGTTGTTGTTGTTGTTGTTGTCATCCTTCACGCCCTACTCGCCCATTTCCCCCATTCCCTGCTCGTTGTCTTTGTTGTTGTTGTCGTTGTTGTCATCCATCTCTCCCATCTCGCCCATCTCGTTGTAGCCGCCGTTGTTATTGTTGTTGTTGTCATCCTTCTCGCCCTTCTCGCTCATGTCTCCCATTCCCTGCACGCCGCCATCGTCGTCGTCGTTGTTGTTGTTGTTATCGTTGTCGTTGTTGTTGTTGTTGTTGTCGTTGTTGCTGTTGTTGTTGTTGTTGTTGTTGTTGTTGTTGCTGTTGTTGTTGTTGTTGTTATTGTTGTTGTTGTTGTTGTTGTTGTCACCCTTCTCCCCCTTCTTGCCCATCTCGCCCCTTCCTTGGCGCTCCTCCACCGCAGTTGCTGCCCCTGCCATGAACCCCATCTCCACCTCCCATTCACCTGCCTCACCCTCAATGACGTCACTCTCAACATCAACTTGATAAGCGAGCGCCATCAGGTTTTCCCACCACCCGCCAACCCCCACCTTATGCTCATCCCTGTCCCACACATCCGCTTCATGGCTCATCTCACTCTCCACTTCCCAATCCGCACTCCCTGCACACATATTATTGCAGTAGTTGACCACGTCTTCCTTATCTTGCCCACCATCCTCTGCATACGAGACGTCGTCTTCTATGTCAAAAGGAGTATCTCCATATTGTAGGCCCACCACCAACTCCATCAAGTACCCAAACAGCTGCGCCCCTATGTATTTCCTCGTCAAACTCACAGTTGGCGCTACCCCTTCCAGCTCGTCACGTTCGTTCACGTCCCAACAGCACATGGCACGTGGCCAATTCAATGAGCCACTCACTTCTGCCGGGCGTGCGCACAGGCTTAGCAGCGGAGGAGCTCCCCTCCCCCCGCGCTAGTCTAACCGGGGGAACCGGGTCTTACCATTCCGGCGGCATCAGGGCGCCAGCACTAGCGCAACCGGTGACCAATCCTCCTAACATCACTCCATCCATCATGGGTCTCGTCACGTCCCTCTTTTTCAAAAGCCCTCTCCCGGTATTTTGAAAAATGACCATCTTCAGGTGGATCTGTCACTGACCCTACCCTTATGCCCGTACAAGTTGTTGCAGTTTTTTGTTTTCTTCTGTTGTTGTTTTTTTGCTTTAGCGCGGTTTCAAAAGTATGTGTGGCAACCAGGTAGGTGACATGGCTATTCCAGCCCGTGCCGGCTGATGGTGGGTGCTCTCTCGCAGGCTCCGGATTGGACTGAGGTCGATGGGCAGGTAGGTGACATGGCTGCTCAGGCCGGTGCCGACTGATGGTGGGTGCTCTCTCCTCGCTGGCTCCGGATTGGACTGAGGTCGATGGGGTAGCGACCTTGCTGGTCCGCTGGGTGGAGAACACCTTACAAAGTATGTTGGAGGTGGTCGAGGAATTAGAGGAGGGGCCCGATCCCCTGGTTGACGTTTTGCTTGATTGGCGCCAGACAGACAAGATTTTGAACCAGTGCTACAATTTGTTAGACATGGGGCATGCTCTGGGTGTTGCGTTGGTGCATCAATCGGGTGGTGTGCTATCAGCAAGCATGGCGGTATATGGTCAGCCTCTTGTCACTCAATCCGGTGTGTCACCATCAGCAAATGCAGTTTTGGATACTACATCTAGTATATACTCTAACTATGAAGACTGCTCCTGCATGCATAACTGCATCATCCTACGATTTGGGGGCGTTGCCAATTTCAAAAACCACAACTATGCCCATCACTCCTCTGTCCAGTATAGTATTATCTTGCGATGGCGAGGAACTCCAAAATCAATCATCAGCTTCATATATCATGCCACCAACAACAATCTCCCATTCATCTACAGACCCCATTGCTCAACCTATAACTGTTACAACGATGACAACTGCTCCGATTTATGCTGCGGAGATCTCGGCTGGTACAGGGTACGTCCATGGTCAGAGAATGCGTGAGGCTCCTCAAGAGCAGGCCATCATGATAGCGTCACCAAAGATGCTCATCTCACCACAACAAAAGCCGTCTGCTATTTTGCTCTTTGCGGGAGCATCGACCAGTAATAGGCCTACGAGGGATTTGGTTACTTGCATCCTTCACCCTTCAGAACGATCTTCAGGGTCACTGTCTGATGTGCCATGTTTTAGTCTTTTGCTGAGTCAGACATGAAATGGAATGGTCAACCGTATGAATGGTTGATGCCGAGGGTGTTGTGCTGTTTGCTTGAGTGGCGAGTTGGCCAGTGTTTTGATCCTGTCCGGATGCTCATGGTGTAAGTTCCTTGCCTCTTCCTTCATGCTTCGTTTGGGTGGCAGCGTATTGACTTCTGTTGTTGTGCTCCATTCTGCCCATTTTTTGCCAGATTCTTGATCAGTTTAGTCGTCATTTAGTTGGTCATCACATGTGATTGCTCGTGCTATCGACTTTTGCCATGATTCGACATGACCTAAGTTGACTTGGATTACTCTTATCTACTTGATTGGATTTGGGGAGGGTGTTTTTTCTCTCCCCCACTCTTCACCACACATTCTTGAGCGGAGGACTCCTTATACATTAAGGATTGGCCATGTGGTGTGAGTGGGAAGGCGCCCCATATAGGTTAGGACTAGTGATTCAGTCTAGTGTTTGTGTTTGGGGTTTGACAGCCAGGTGGCATTGTGACGCCCAACCTCACGTCAGGCGTGACTTCCTGATCGGAGTCTGAGTGGGCCTGGAAGTGCGAAAACGGGTGTGCCAAGGATTTTTGGGAAAGTGGGGATGGAGTTTTAGGTCGGAACTGAAATCTCCTGTGGCAAGTTTCAGAGATAGGAATGCAAGAGGATAGGCGAGGGTCGAAGTCTGTTCCCATGCTTCTGAGCGTGGGTCTACCACCTTTGCGTCTTTCGTCGTCTGGGTCGGACTCGTATCTGGTGCACGGGCGAGACGCTATGGCTATCGCGTTGTCTGACCACTTGTTGGCGTTGTGCGTCGCTGTTCTCAGAATCCGATGCGACCGGCCTTAGCCAAAGGCTATGTAGACCCCCGTACGAATACGGGCCGTACGGTCGTACGTACGGGCTCATGTGGTCGTACGGGCCGTACGTACGAAAACAAAGCAAAAACAAAAAATTCAAAAAAATCTGAAAAAAACAATATGTTATGCAGAAAAATAAACTGAAACATTTTTGCCTCAGGGTCATATTGAAATTCGTTACCAAATTTGAGTTAAAAAAAAAAAGTTTTTTTTTTTTTTTTTTTTTTTCCGTACGGGGCTATACATACGGCCGTACGACCATTCATACGACCGTACGTACGACCGTACGATAAACCCCCCGTACGTCGTACGGAGTGTTACACAGGCCGAAGGCTATGCCCCCGTCGTTCTTCCCCCGAACGATTTCGCCGGATAAACACGGAGGCTCGGTACTTACGGTCTTGCAAGCACTCCGAGCACGGGGGTTGGGGCCAATACGAAGTGATTGCTCGTCAGGGAATGATGGTCAGCGGATGGAAGGGCACTATGCGGTGGTAGGGAGGGAAGTCGGTTTCCAGAATAAGTACTGCCGGTTCCGCGATAGGGTGACACATGTACGAGCTGGGGAATTCCGGGTGGTGGGGAATGCGCTCTCGAGCTTGGTCGATATCCCACTCGCAGATCCACTCGTTTCTCACCGGGTAAGGAAATTCCAGAAGTTCTCTCCTCGGTCGTGCATACAAACACACGTGCTCTCGATACTCCCGAAATTCCGGATCTCGCAGACTCTCGCAGTCAGTAATACGAAAAGGGAGTTCAATATTCATGCTCTGGGGTGAGGCGGAAACCCAGTCGTTCGAAAACTTGGACCGAGCGGCGAGCACAGACACTTGTAGACACGCGTGTAGGCCTCGTTCTCCTGATCGGGCTTACACCTGCGTGCACAAGGCCTGCCCTTCGGTCCAATGGACAATGACCAATGACCCACGTCTCGTACGCGCTAGCCTGTTAACCGAGGGTGGATAGTCCTATGGCGAGACAAAAATCTGATCATCTAGTATGCTTATTTAATTTTGACAGACAAATACCCATCGTTCACGCGTCCAGTTTCATGCATACAGAAACAAAAAGAATGTGACAATCATTCATGCATTAAGATCGTACAAAATTCGATCGTAGATAATTAACCAATCGATGACGTTCATCCATAGAACAGAGTGGGAGAAGCAGTCATGCATCGATCAATAGAGACAAACAAAGATCCGAGATGCCAATCGAAAGAAACAAAGGCGACTTGCGCTGGATACCAAAATTGCTCAGAAGGAAAGAAAAAGAATCGAAATGGCTCAAAGGGGTAGAAGAAAAAGCTCATTGCACACCTCCTCTCTCTCTCTCTCTCTCTCTCTCTCTCTCTCTCTCTCTCTCTCTCTCATCACCCCAATGCAGGCAGTCCGTCCCCCCGAACCCACATAGAGTTGTCACCCCGCTTGATCCAAGCATGCAAGCCAGGTTCGCCTGTGTGCCACAGTCCGTCGCGGCCCCACGTCAACCCCTCATGCTTAGCATCGATTCGTCGGATCACCCAACTCTCTACTCACCTGCCAACTTCCGCTCGTTAGCCGATCCTCTCGACCGCGGTACGTTCCAAAGTTCTTAGAAAACGAGTTAATCACGCTTACAAAATTTATAACGAGCATTTGTGTGCGCGCGATACCCGGGATTGTGTCTGAGTACGTGGAAGAAGGAGGAAGGGAGTGCCTACGATTGCATGACCAGGCTGCGGCGTGGGGGACGTAGCCTCACTCCACACATCGATCTGGTCATGCATGCATTCAGGTCAATAGGACAGAGGAAGAAGTATCCGCGCACAAAGGCGCTACAAAAGATACAAAGAGCGAGGGAATCACAGTTGCAATTATGCCCGCCAAAACAAAATTTACAGTTATGCTCAGGATTAAGGCGTAAAGAAATCAGAGCACGAATCTTGACGCGGCATGGCGTGCGCAAGCAAGAAGCGTTGTGCAGCAGAAATTGAGGCGCGGCTTAATTCTTAATCCTTGTTCCTAGTTGCAAAACAAAATTCGAACTAAGCAATTTCCGAGAGCCCGCGAGGCCTCGACATCAGTTGAAAATTAAAAAATAAAAATTTTCGCACGACAATCGCACCAAAATGCCGCGTTCCCACAGCAAAACAAGAAAGAAGCTATGGCAATAGATATTCGCCTCACTCGCTAAGGCGCGATCAACTACCAATCGCCACAGAACCAGGCCAGCTCTCCCCCCCCTCCTTTTTCCCCAAAGGATGTGAAAGCACAAGGACGCGTAAAGCAAGGGCATCCACGCAGTTCATCAGGCCATCCCGACTCGACTCGTCTCAACCCTCGACCTAGCCTTGCGCAAAAGATCGCGAGGTTGCAGAAAATAGTTCGTCACATATGTGACGCCCAGGGGGTTCCAATCTTGAGCAAGATCCTACTTGCTCCTTTAATCATCCGTCGATTTCCGACGGTTGGCGCAGAGTTGACATGTGCCACTTACCATGAGATGAGAGTGGGAAGTCCTCCAGGTGGCATTCGCGACTCCGATCTAAAGGTTGCCAGGGAGGGGTAATCTTATGACGGGTGGAGGGAGAGGAGGGTGAGTTTGGGGGAGAGGAGGTAGAAAACGATCTTGTTCTCGATCTCCTGTGGGGAGTCGGATGTAGTGGACAGTGAGATGGATGCAAGAGAAGCGATGATCTTGATGTGGAAGCGAAGCGAGGTAATCAGGGTAAAGAGTACAGAGGGTGCGGGAAATCACAGCGTGGAAGTTATCATAATCTTCGCACTTGGGGATGGTGCCAGAGATGATGCAATAAACCTCTATATTATTATATTCCAATCATGCCGCCTGAGGAGAAAGACGTGGAGGGGGAAGGTGGTTACTATAGAGCGAATGGTG